TGCGTGGTGGACGTGACCGCCGCGCCTCGCCGATGGGCAGGGCGTGGGGGCGTGGGGCGATGGTTCTGGTTGGATCGGACCGTGCCACCTGTGTTTTAAACAACCCGTTTTTCTTTGTTGGTCAACATGCCCAAAGATCTGCATGAATGAATGGAAGGGGCTCATCGATCAAGGAGTATGTTGACCTATCTGTCCGCAAATGCAGCAGTGTTGTTCAGGAGGCCAGATGGAAGAGCAAAGAACTACCTTTGGCCAGGGCATGCCAAAACACATAGTCGAAACGCCCGCCGAAAGAAGACGCGAGACGAAAGTTCACAGGTCAAGCGGATGCTTGCAGCATTGTTTCAGGAGTTGGGACATTCCTTTGCTCGGAGTTGGAATGCCAGTATTATTGTTTTTTTTTTCCCCCCGGGAGGCCCAACGAGGTCGCAGTCCTTTTCGGTTCATCGCCTCCTTTGCACTGGGCCCTGTCTGACATGTTTCCCTTCCGAGTTCAAGGTCCCGAGTTCGGATCTTTCCGTAGAGCAGCGGTGCCACCGATGGTCTCCTTTTCCGGAGGAGAGATGCAACTGGTGCGTTAGGTGTCATAAAAGCCAACAGTCTTCATCCGAGCGCACCCATGCTGACCCCTCATTCCAACAAACAAGTGGAAACCACCAGCTTGAACAAGTGTCCTACCCACTTCCATGATGCTTTCGTACCCCAAGAAGGTTCGTGGTTCGTCTGTGCACGTCGAAAGTGCATCGTCTGTGCACGTCGAGCCCTCTAATCTGCTGACACTGACGTCGACAAAGGTTTTCCCATCCTTGGAAGGCCCCCGGCAAAAGACCGAGCAAAGGATGGGAAGGCCCCTGGCAAAAGACCGGGAAGCGCCGAACAAAAGATCGGAAGGCGCCGGGCAAAGGCTGGGAAGTCGCACGGCAAAAGACCGCCGGGCAAAGACCGGGAAGGGCCCTGGCAAAAGACTGGGGGGCGCCGCCAAGCAAAGATTGGGAAGGCCGTGGAGAGACCGGGGATACGCCGAGCACAGACCGGGAAGGTTCCCAGCGAGAGACCGGGAAGGCGCCAAAGAAAGACCGGGAAAGGCGCCGAGCAAAGGAGAAGGCCCCCGGCAAAAGACCGAGAAGGCGCCGAGCAAAGACCGGGAAGGCCGGGAGAGCCCCGGGCGACCGGGAAGGCGCCGAGCAAAAGACCGGGAAGGCCTTCAGCAAAAGACCGGGAAGGCGCCGAGCAAAGATCAGCCCTAAACCAGCCGTAAACCGCCCTAAGCCAGCCCTAAACCAACCCTAAGCCCAACCGGGAAGGCGCCGAGCAAAAGACCGGGAAGGCCTTCAGCAAAAGACCGGGAAGGCGCCGAGCAAAGATCAGCCCTAAACCAGCCGTAAACCGCCCTAAGCCAGCCCTAAACCAACCCTAAGCCCAAGCTTAAGCCAGCCCTAAAGCAACCCTAAGCCGCACTAAACCAGCCCTAAACCAACCCTAAGCCAACCCTAAACCAACCCTACATCCATCCAAAGCCAGCCCTAAACCAACCCTAAACCAACCCTAAACCAACCGTCTTTCACTGGGGCCTTTCCCGTCTTGCGCGCGCGTTCCTGATCTTTGCTCGGAGCTTCCCAGTTGTCCCGGAAGCTCGCATCTGGACCTGGATTTGGTGGCAGGCGCAGTACTTTGGGGGCGCATGTGCGCAGATGAGTCGCTTCTGGCGTGCGCAGATGAGTCGCTTCTGGCGTGCGCAGATGAGTTGAGCGGGTGATGCGTTTCCCCCCAAGAACCCATTGCCTTTGTTACCTGTGGCGCCCTACTATTTGGGTTTTGCCCCCACGGAGGCTTTCCTAGTCAGATAGCGTTCGCATCGCGTGTTTGAGGCTCTGATCCCTGTCACCAACGTTATCATTTATGCCCTCGCCACTGAAGAGCAGGAGCCAGAGTCAGCTCGTTGAGTGTGTGTGTGTGTGTGTGTGTGTGTGTGTGTGTGTGTGTGTGTGTGTGTGCGTGTGTGTGTGTGTGTGTGTGTGTGTGTGTGTGTGTTGTGTTGTGTGTGTGTGTGTGTGTGCGTGTGTTGTGTGTGTGTGTGTGTGTGTGTGTGTGTGTGTGGAACCTTCTCTTACACGAAGGCGGCGTCACGGCCGATATTGGAATGTCTGCGGTATGAACACGAGCAGGGGGACCAGGGATGCTTGACTTGGCCTGGTCCAACGAAGCTCCAAGTCTTGCATCAGGATATGGCAGAAGGACGCTTCAGCCACGTACCTGCGCTCGATGATAAGCTGTTGGTTTACCCACTGGATTCTGTGCCGTGATGTTGATGCTGTTGGTTAGTAACTAGACTGATAGTAACTAGAGTGACACTGCCCGGACATGACCTTTGCGACTTCTCTGCATTCCAAAGTGTGTATCGCTTGGCACGTCCGACAAGGCGCCAAGTTAGACGGGTTCCCATGCCCGGCTCCTCACTGAGGAGAAGATCTCGTTCAGGGCGCCTTTTCGGTGCTGGATGCTTTGAGGTACCCCCTCCCAATCAATTTGCCTCCTTGGCCACGTCTCACCTCAAACTCCGTCCAGCGTTCCTGTTTCGTTCAGGTTCAGATTCAGCATGCAGACCCGGTCGGTTCCCCGCTTGACGTCAGGCTGCTTTTGTAGGTCTTCAGGTTTGGTTTTCGGTTTCCCGTGTTCCTACTCTTCACGTGCTCAAACTGCCAAGTGACCTCGCTACGGAGTGACTCGCACCGGATGAGTGACCTGCTGCAGTTTTGTCCTCCTTTTCAGTTGAGTTGTTTCAGCTGCACACCACCACCGGCTTTTCTGATGGCTTCTCGACATCTACAGCAGTTCCATTCTGTCACCTCCATGTATGTCTTTCCTGGCTCGCGAGGTTCAGGACAAGCAGGTGACTTTGGAATGCGCCAAAATCCTTCATGGCCTCGTCACCACGCAGGTCCGGCGACACCGTACCTTCCTGGAGGTGCCCAGCATACTGAAAGTTTCAATCCTCCTGGAACCATCCTTCCACTTGGCTTTGAACCCACCGCGCGCTCTACCCGGTCAACTACGTGCCCTACGCCATTCAGGTGCCAACACTTACCAACCAGCAAGCGCAAAGCAACACTCATCCCCCTGCACCGGCTCCAGACAGTGGTCGACCCGATGAAGCTAATACACCATCCCAGCCTGCTCCTCTGAGCCAAGATCCTCCTCGTCAGGAACCTCAGCCGGACCTTCATCGACCAGATCTCCGCCAACAAGATGCAAGCCGGTCCAGCCGACAACGAGATGACGGTTGACGAACCAGATCAGCTTCTCGGCCACAACTTGATCGTCGTCGGCTTTCAGCACGACCACTTCGATCGGACCCGCGCCAACGCATCCCACATCGTCCAGTCGTGCTCCTACCAGCTCCGGCGGTCAGAAGGTCCCGCACACGCCGGTCAAGAAGGACCAGTGCTGCTAGACACCGTCACACTCCCCCATCTGGTCGGACATCCTCGCGAAGGCCTCGCCGGGCATCTCCGCTACGACATGACGCTACACATGGTCACGCACGTCGATCTCGGTCAACAGCAGGCAGCCTCCGCGGACCCCGTCAACCCGCACACCGTTCTCCTGGACTACGTCGTTCCGGACACCGCGACCGCTCCGGATACCGCGACCGACAGGCTGAACGTGCTCCAGTTCGTGATCCCCAACCTCCACTTTCTCGACCTGGTGAAGCTCACTCAAAAACAGCACCTCGCCCTGCCAGACAAGTCGATCCCGAACCACAACAAGCAATGAACGAGTGTCGCAGCCGCCATGCAGGACCGCAGCAGAGCGCTCACGCTTGTCGAGATTCCAGCGGCTGAACTGACAACGCCGGAGACATGGACTCCAGCGCAGCAGACCAGACTTCAGGACATCACTCGCTCCGTCGATCAAGATCTACCTATGTCCCAAGTCCAAGTCTTGACTGACGCCATCCTGGGTGCCGGCATCCACGTCTGACCGGCATCCACCTGCACTTCCGCGACGCCAGCCCCTTCGGCAATGTGGCTCACTACCACTACTGCTGGGCTCACGGAACAACTCGGGCCGGAGCCGCAGGAATCCTCAAGGACCGCTTGCTCCGACCCAACTCATGGAGCAGCGGATCAGACTGTCCGAGTTTCGGATTCTTCGGGTACGGTGCGCAGGGCCACCTCAATGAAGACAACGCCAACGAGCTCCTGCGGAAGTTGTACCGAATTGGCAAGGGACAGCAGGCCGCCGCCATCCTTGGCGAGTACTCCGGCAACGTCGCTCACGCCCGGACAGATGCGGGAGGAGTCAGCGAATTCAACGCCTACGCTGGCATCATGGTGCAGTCCGCGGTGACTACTGGGCATTCCATGCGGCGCACTCCACCATCAGACAGATCATCGTGGTCCGACCGCTTTGAAGGCGTCCCAGCAGCTGAGCGTCACATGAGGGCAGGGCGGTGAAGACGGAGGACGTTATACCTAGTCTCACGAGGTGTCTCACGGATACACGCAGGCCCTTGAGCAACAGGTTCGCTCCGTTGTCTCACCGACACCATGAGTTTGGGCGATTGGAAACCCTGCTTATTTCTCCGTCTCACCGCCACTTGGTTGAGGTCCCCTTCGACTCCATATTCCTGTCTCACCGATGTTTTGGTCACCCTCGGAACAGCCATGTTTTCACCGCACTTCAGCCGAATCTCACTGAGACTTTGGATTTGTGACTTTCCATGACCAGACCATTTCCATCAACAAGACGCCACTTGGATTGACCGACCATGTGACTCCCAGATTGTCTTGCATCATTGCCACGCTTCACGCTTGCACGCAGCCACGCGGTTTTTGCAGCAAGTTCATTGACAAAACCTTGCATCAACGTAGTCGGCCTGACATGGCGGATCAGGGACATCGTCATCTTCCAGTTTGGCGAGCCGTTGCAAGACACGGGCCCTATGATCGACCGCACCAAGGGCACCCACCTGCCCTGCATCCAGCACCATTGCCGTCATGGGCGTTGCCTCCGGCCATGCGCTCAGACCAATCTGAAGCCAACACTCACTCTGGAACTACAACCTCGCCTTGTCCTCTTCCTGGTTTTCCACCGGTTCCGCCTACTACATGGCCACCGGCTGTCCCTCCCCCTCCTCTTCTTCTTCCTGCTGACATTGCTCGCCCACATGGACTTGCAGGTCGTCAACTGCATCGAGATCGCCGTCTGCCAAGTTTGACGGACGCACGCCAGTATACCACGGTACCTTCACAACCCTCTCCGAACAACGACCACACCCGCACCCCTCCCTCACCCACCGCACCGAGCTTGCATGGCTCCCACCGGCCACCTTTCCCCTCCCCTTCCCTGCCCTCGACCAACGAGTTAGCTACTCAGTCTACACCCACTGCACCTCCCACACGTGCACCTTTCAGCTTGCCCCCAACGTTTGTGCAAGACTCTAATCACTTGGACACGACCGTCCAATACGGTCTCAACTTACCCAGGCGGGTAGCGTCAACCACACGGACCCAGGAACGACAAATCGCCGGCTACCCCACCGAGCAGATTCCAGTCGTCAACCTGCTGCACCACGGCTGGAAAAGCTTCTGGTTACGGCGATTATCACACGGGCAACCACGTCCATTTGGTCTGCGCTCAAGATCTCGCTGAGGTCGTCCTGCTCGCCGAGCTCAGCTCTGCTATAAGAGCACGCCAGCTGCACATCGACGGCGTCGCAGCAAATGCGGCCACGGCAGATGGTGGCGCCCTCGACCGCGTATCGTGCATGAAATCGTTGGTCAAAAACCTCATCCAGGTCATGGTGGACCTTCAACCCACCCCTGCCATCGACAACGATGCCCAGCAACGCATAGTTCAGTTACAAACCAGATCGCGCTTCACCCTCCGAAAAGCCCCAATCGACTGTCATCGACACGCTGGCCAATTCTGCGGCCCAGCCGGCCCCCTCCAGACCCGACCTCACTCCCACACCTGCCGATTCCCCCGGCGCACCCCCCGATCACTCCAATCTGCCCGCTCGCACCGGGTCCTTCCGTGCTCGCTCCTCCACTTCCAAATGGGACCCCAAGTGTCTCCTCGATCCTCCGAGCCAACGATCTCAATGGGTGATCCACAACTACGCAGGCACCACTAACGAAACTCAATTCAAGCAGTTCTCAAGAACCTGAAGATGCCCGCCAACAAGCGCAAGCAGCTGCAGACCATGATCGAGCAGGTCACCGCGTGGACCCCCAACATCACCGAGGAGGAGACAGGCCAATTGGAGGCAAACGCAATCTTGTGGGGCTTCCCATTCTAAGACACTTGGCAAAACACAGCCTGCCGTTCTGCACAAACTGCTGGCAACAGCTTACCTTTTTGGCAACTGACTAGCCACCATCGCCCGCGCACGGCGAGTCACAGCAGCCGTCCTCCGCACAGCACGACCTTTGATAAAGGTCTTTTCACAGCTGCTCACTCTTTTACTTCCAATTTGTCTGCATGACAACGTCCACATTTTCGCATGTGGCCTGTGGGTGCAATGCCGCCTGCTCTCCGTCAACCTGCATTTTTTCCTTTCCCCCACCACTCCGACGATTTTGCACGCCTTCCAGCGCGCCGGAGTTGCACCTCACAACGTGACCTTCGAACAATGGAGCACACCCAACGCCGTCTACATCAAGTTCACTGACATTGCTGCCTTCCAGGACAAGTTCTACATCGGCAGCACCCACAGCGATGTCGCCGGACGCGAGCACACCCGTTACCGAAAGCTTCTACAGCTACAACGAGCAAAGTTGGTCAGCGCTTAACTGGCACTAAGGTGGTGGCTACAACACGACAGCTTTTTTGCCTTTGCCATCACACCTATCTACTTCTCCAAGCCCACCGAGGCTTTGCTTGCCATCGAACAAACTTTCATCCAGCCCCTCCAACCTGCACTGAACCACCCACACATCTCAACCTGGTGGTGTCCACGACGAGGTATCAAGCGTGCAAAACACCTACACAAAGTTCAAGGCACTGGCCTCTTCACTCTCTTCTGCAAACTTCGCCGAAACAACCTCCCTGGCCGGTTCGCCGCCATCAGACACATGCCGATTTTCAGGTCACGCATCGCCACTTGGACCTTCCTCACCGACCTCAGCAGCAACACCCTCCGCTCTTTTGAGGCCCAACGCCAACTCCACCACTGGAACTTCCCGTCAGTGGCCTTTGCTCCTGTGTGCCGACTGGCTGCCAACATGCCACAGCCTCACTCTACCATTTGCCTCAAACACCTGCGCAACATCGGCACGAGGCGCGGCATACCACTGCCCCGGTCTTCTGCCCCACTTTTCTTACCTTTCCTACAGCATCCATCCTACGGGTCCGACCTCGTCCAGGACATGAAGTCCATCTACAAGGAGTTTCACCACGCCGTTCATCAGCGAAACTCCCATGTCTCGGAGTTCCTGCATAATCACCGAACAACACAGAACGACTGGGCGCAGCATGTCCCACCCGTGTGCGCCTGTCACACGCTGGCAACACGAGCAACTGGTGAACACGCCCATCTTGTCGACGGACACCTGGCTTGCCCTGCCTCTCACCTCAATCTTCCTCCCCACCTTCACATCATCGCGGACGGCAACAGCAGGAACGCCTTCTACCCCTCCAAGCAGAAGTACGTTCTCGCCTATGTCACGGCCTTTAACCGTTGGTGCACCCACCACCACTTACCGCACGTGCACCAGCAGTGGTTGGAGGACCACGCATCCCTCCACTGGAATACGCACAAACAGTGCGGCAAGGCAGTGTTTGACGCTAGCGCCCTTCACGCCTTGAAGGAGTGCACCGGGAACTTGGTCTGGCATTGTGAGGACCACGCGGCTCACCGTTTGATGGTGTTTTGCCCGATCCAGTACTATCGCATGCTGGACAACACATGGTGCAATTCAGACATTTTCGAAGAAATGGTGGGCATCAACCCCTTGCAGCACCACGACGACAAGGTCCATGCCATTCGCCGCTCTCTTCCACGGTACGATTGGGCCTTTCACGACTATGGTCGCGTTCCTACAGCCTATCTTGTGCCGAAGCGCAAGAAACAGTTCTCTGCTGGCCGCCCCATCATTTCATTCGCCGGCTGCTTCACCAGAAAGCTGTTCTCTGCCACGGCCTTCTTGCTGCATCAACTTGTGGCCGTGGCGTTTCCCCGATCCCGCCAGCATCACGACGTGTGGCAACTCCTTACAGCGATTCAACGCTTCTTCCGTGACAACGAGAGCACAACGCACTTCCTCATCTACAACCAAGACCTTGAGGGCTTCTTCACTTCCCTTCCTGACGAAAGATTCCATTCAGCATGGCTTGTGCTGAACGAACGATACCTCGCAGCCAATCCCGGCCACGCCCCATGGATCTCCGTCAACGTGACTGAACGCCAGTCACATCAACGACTATTCCGAGGTCACCGTCGTCGTGCTCCTCTCCACGAACACCGAGTATGGCTGGAGGACATGCCCACCATCCTCTGGTCATTCCGACTGGGGTCCTCTATTTTTGGTTGGACCTAGCTAGACCAGGATGCCAAGACGCCGCATAGGAAGGCGACAACGGCGACAACATTTTTCAGTAAAAGGCGGTTAGCGCTGGAAACAGACTCATCATTAACAAGTGGCACAAGTGGCGCTGATAGGCTGATAGTTTGGCAGCCTTGACTACTAACTGCCAACTGCACTGCCAATTTTTAGGCCACCTAGGCCTAGGCTAGGCCTTCTAAAAAGTTTGCAGCTTGAAAGTCGAGTCTAGCGTGCGCCGGGCGCCGCAGCCATCATCGCAGAGTCGCAGATTCTCAGATGATCGCAGGGCGGCAGGGCAGCCGCGTTACTGCACTTAGTAGTACTAGTCTGACTAGTCTATAGTCCTATAGTCTATTGAATAGTCTATTGTTACTAGTATGGCTTTGCATTTCGACCCTCTGAAACATTAACATTTCGAACTTCAGCTTGAGGTCCTGGACTTCAGGGCCGTGACTCGATTCAAGTCTCAAGGGGCCGGGCCGGGCCTTCAAGGCTTCAAGGCTTTAAAACCCGAGACTTGAGTTACTTGAGTTACTTAGTAATTTCTGACCTCTGAACTGGAAACTTGCGACTTTGCGATGATGGCCTGTTAGTTGGCGCCAATGTCGCCAAGCACAGTTTGTGATGACCTTTCAGCTTTCAGCCACCACCAGTCAACAACTGAAGAATTTACTGACAACGCAAAACATCGGCGCGCCGGCGCCGCCTTCTGGCTCATCAGGTCTGACGGTCTGAACCTGACCATGGTCTGGCTTGCAGCTGGGCAATAGCATGCCAGCCAGCCTAATGGTTCGTCAGCTGGCCCTGACCAGGACGAAGTCGAAGGCAAACCTTGGCGGCCTTGGCGAGGATGAGGTGGACAGCTTGCGACTGCTCCGACTGCGCTGCGGCAAGAAGCGCAAGGGCCAAGCTGGCCAACCCATTCCTGGAACGCTGACACAGGGAAGCGCAGCAACCATGGCAGCTTCAGGCCCCCTGACGCCAGAGGAGTACTGCGCGCACTGCGCGGAAACTGTGTCTGAAGACGACGATGAGTCTACTGATGGCAGCAACTTGGATCTCGAAGACCCACGATCGTCGCAGTCGCCGTCGTCGTCGTGGCCATTGTCATTGTCAGAGTCAGGGTCCTGCTCGCAGTCGCAGAGTGAGGCTTCTGAAGCCCGGGCCCAGACTCAGACGCCAGGGCCGCCAGGGCGCAGAACAGAGCTACAGTGCACACTCACACTGTTTTGGCACTGGTCATGCCGAGCAATTTGCGACGCTGAGGGTTGTGCTGACCCTTGTTGGAGACCTGTGTGTCACCCGTTTAAGTTCAAGCGCCACTTGACGCATCGCTGTGTTTTGCATGCTGAGTCGCAAGTATAGGCACGGCACAACTACAACAGTAACAGGCAACAGAGTCAGAGTTCGTTGTGTGCCACACTACTGTGTGCCTATAGCGCGCACGGCGCAGCATGCGCTCAAGTTCAAGATAGGGGATTTATGCCCTTCAGACTTGGCTCTTAGCATTAGCTTGTCATGCCACGCCATGCTGTGAGTGACTTCAGCTTTGTTTGTAAGTAATTGTTTTCCATTGTGGGGTCAAATCAGTTTCCAAGTTTTCGGAGTCTGGCGTCCAGTGGTTTTGGGCCAGGGCCGGCCAGGGCCAGGGTGCCTGGCTGCGGTGCTCACAGCAAGCATTGCCCAAGAGTGCAACGAGCAGCGAGCCTGAGGCAGAAAGAGGGTTTCGCGCATGACTACGCCTGTGACCAAGTGTTTGCTGCACGCAACATGGCACATGGCTTTGAGCCATGAGCCATGATGATTGTGCATGTGCCGTCTCTTGCTGTCATGCTGTGAGTTGTGAGTGAGTGATACCTTAGGTCGGTGCTTTGCAGATTGCAGACTGTTGAGTTGAGTTGCGCTTTTGCAAAGCGAAAGCCAAAACATGTTGTTGGCTCAAACTTGCTGGTAGTTTGCAGCTTGCGGTTGGCCTTTGTCACATGGCAGCATTTCGGAACGAGGAAGAACTCGAAGTGCCACTGTGGCTGGCCTTTCGCTTCAATGATAGGCATCGCTTCCGATCATTCGAGCCACGCTCTGTCAATGCTTTCCGTCAACAGCGTAACCGCCGGGACGCGGAGCCTACAGTGGTGGCCCGCAGTGTGCTGGCCACTGCTGCAAAAGCCGCTCAGAGCGGCGGCGTTGCAGAAGGCCCGCAGCATGTGAAGTGGTCAGCCTGCGGCGGATGCATGGGCACAGTGTTGGAATCCATGTGGCGCAATGTGCTGCACATAGTGGGCAACAACTATGACCGAGCAAAGGGCATATTTCTCAGCACGCTTGAAAATCAACAACAGTTGGTGGCACTTTGCAAAGTTTCTATTGTCACATTTGAGGATGGGTTACTGGCAGCGCTCAGTCATGAAGAACGGTTCATGTCTGAATTTCACAACCAACTGCCCTGTGTTCTTTTGCGGGTACTTGATGTTTGCAGTCTGCAAAGCCTGAGCCTCAATGCAATCCCGTTCGAAAGAGGTGGCCACCAAACCTCAGTTCTATTCAGCATGCATCCAGAGCAAGTGGAGAACTTGTGCCAACTTGACAGCGTGCAGCAGTTTGCTGGAAGGTCAGGGTGGAGCGTTGAGCAACTTAAGCGTTGCAGGCTTGGTTTGCAAACTTGGGCGCCATTCGGACTTTTAGTTGCTGAAGGGAGGTGGGCATGCTTAGGTTTTCCTGTGCTGCAGAGGATGCCTTCTGTTCCTGGGCAGTTGAAGGCAGCTGCAAAGACTGTTCTGGAGCAGTGCGAAGCCAATTACGAGGGCGGCCAGCCTCAAAACCCTGGGCCGCAGGACTTGCAAAATCCTCACATCTTGAGGGAGATGGCTGAAAAAGTTAGACATTCGTCCAGAATCATTATTGGGCACGGCCCACAAATGGATGCAGAGCAGGACAGGTTTGATTTGGAAACAGCTGTGAGTTTTTTCGAGCAACATGCTAGTTCGATGGAAAACATGTTGCGAGATCCCATGATGGAGCGATATGGAAGATTTGGTTTTCAGAAGCGATTTCGCATGGTGCAGCTCTTGCGTGTGGTGCTGTTTGCCAGGGACTTGTGCAGCCAAACTCAGGCCCAAGATGCGCTGCTGAACGCGTTGAGGATGCTGGATGTTGGAGAGGCAAACTTTTCCTACCTGAAAGGCATTGTGGAGGACAAGGCATTTTCATTGCCAAGGAAAACAGTTCTATCTCACATGAGATTTGTGGTGGATTGCGGCCTGATGTTCTTCCACAGGAAATGTTTGCACAACATGTTGTCAAGCGCGCGCACAGAGAGGCCGTGCATTTACGCGATGGTGGACAGCAGCCCCCAAGGAGGAAGAAATATTGTCAACTCAGAGTACGATTATGTGCTAGGTGAGGATTTGCTGGAGCTGTGCAGCATTTTTGCAAACATGGTTTCAGGCATGAAGACTCTTAGACACCGTGACCCTTCTGTGCGTGAGGTCGTGGCCATCTTCGAGGAGCAATGCGACATGCTGGAGCGGGCTAAGAGACTTATGCGACACCATGCAAACATTCCTGTTGCGCTGGGCTCTGGGTGCGCAACCTTGTTGCATGAGTTTGTAGCTCTTCAGCATTCTATTTTCATGGAGGCTGGTTCGACAAAGGTTCTGACTGCCTTCAACGCGGCTGTGGTCGCCATAACCACAGATCGAGGTGTTGAGAAAGGTTTGGTCCATGTGCCTTCAGTGAACTTTGGGGCTGTGTTTCCTTTTTTCGTTTCGCAAGCTCAAGGGTTCGAGGTTGATGGAGGGGATGCTCATGCAGCCAGGGACATAGACGATGGCCAGGCTGAACAGGCTGAACAGGAGACCAGCTGACATTGATCCTACAGATGTGCTTTCGTTGGAGTGCGCCTTGGATGTTGCAGGCGCTATGCACGCCCTGAGTAATGCAAGCAAAGCGATGCTGACAGCCATGCCAAACTACGAAAGTTTCTTTTTCCCACTCCTCAATGCATTGGTGCGGTTCTTGCATGCTCCTTGGCAACGGTCAAGGTTTTGCGAGCTTTGTCTTACTGGGCCACTTGAACCTTTGCGCGGGCTTTTCAAAACATTTCCCTTGACCATAGTGCAGTGGAGATGGCTCACATTGACTGCGGTTATTCCAGAACTGCTTCTTCGCCAGAACGCACTTGAAGCAGCGTGGTCCCCAGACCTCATGGGAGTCAAAGTGCAAGATGCTGGAAATGACAATGGTGAAGGAGAAGCCGCTGCTGACAGGTTTGCTCCGATGCAGTGGGATCTCGTGCACCAGGCCATCAAAAGCCGCGAGTTCTGGGCATGGCTTCACATGCTGGAAGTTCTGACACGCATTTTGTCATACTTGGAGTCTTGGTTCTTTGACTGCCCATGCCATGCTGAGGAAGTGAACCTTGAAGACTGTTTGCTTGTTCTGTCAGGACTGACCCGGCAGGTAGAGGGTGTGCGCAAAGATTTGCAGGCGAGGAAACACTCATGTGTGTTCAGAGGACGGCGCGGGCCAGAGATTGCAAGCGGGGACTTGCTGTGCGTGTTGGATCACATGCTGGCAGCTGCAAATCACCGGGTGACGCTTGTTGTGTTGCCTGCTTGCGACTCAGAGAGCCAAGGGCGAATAGTTGCTGATTTTGAGGCAGCTAAGCAACATTTGCTTTTCCATTTGAGGGTGCAATTTTCTTCCTGGAGCCACTTGCCTCGGGTGCTGCTTGGTGTTCACCACCTCGACGAGGCAAAGGCGAGACAATGTGCTGTAAGTGCGCTGACGCAATGGCGCAACATGAGTGATGCGCAGCGAGGCTGCGCGCACAAGATTGCAGTGAAATTCTGCAAGGAAGGCCCTTTGCGACAGGCCCTGGTGCAGTTTGTGAGGGGGCAGCCCTTGGTTGGGCTGCCGCAGCTTCGCTTGGAGGTTTTCAGGCTGGCCCTTGTCAACTTGTGCGAGATGTCTGTGGAAAGGATGCACGCAGTCACGCAGTCAGTCTTGCGGTCTGGCAGCGCGCATTCCAGCATGCCCACATTGTCGCTCGGCAATCGTTGGAATGAATTTTTGAGTGCTGTGCAGCAGCCTGGTCAGTTTGCGTGGATGGCTGCGGCCTGCCAGCAAAGCTACCACCCCTTGAGGGCAGCACCTGTGTTCGGTATTGTTGAGCATCCATCGCTGGGGCCTCGCCGCGTGGCTGAGTGTCAAGGAAACCCTTCGCTGCTAAGATTGCTAGGCAGCACCATGAAATACAGCAAGACTGTCAAAAACATTGTCTATCGCACAGACAGCGCGTTGCAGCACATGGACCTGAGCCAGGCCTTTCCGCCGCAGCAGAAGCAGTCTAAGATCACCGCGCTTGCGCTTCACGGCCTTGTTTTTGACACAGAGTCACTGCTGAGGCATTCTCACTGTTGGTGGAATCCGGGGCACACATAAGTGTTCCTGCGTGTGTTCGTATTGGCGCTGAAGAGTCCCAACTGCAAATTGTGGACGCATGTGACCGATTGCAAGCAAGCGCATCAGCTTCGGCGGGTGATTTCCCTGCCTGGCTACAGAGAGAAGGAGGTCTTGAGGAGTTGGAGTTTGACGACCCTGAGGTTGGAGTTGGGGTGTTTGAAGGCAAGCAGGGAGTCAGGCCACAGCACCCCGCAGTCGCTCCAGCTCCTGAACCAGGTTCCCCCCCTGATGACTTCTTTTTTCGGGTGATTTCGAAAAGCCCATCGTTGCAAAAGAAGGATGCTGTGAGCACCATGCTTGGCTTTGCCTCGACAGACATTGCTGTGGCTAGGCATCAGGTTTTGCAGACAGACTTGCGCAACGGAACAGCCCTAATTGAGGCCGCTGCAACCTTTGCAATGCCAGTTGCAATGCTGGAGAGGACTTCAGGGGAGTTGCAGAGCCAGTGGATTCTTCCAGCAACACAAGCCTCCCATATCAGACATGCGCGTGTGTGGGAATTTTGCATTGCAAAGGCATCGACTCATCACTGGTCACTCCAGAGACACAGGCGCTTCTTGAGCATGCCGCAGAGCGGCACGCGTGGCCAGGCACAACTGCAGTTCTTCACACGGATCTTTTGGACAAGGAAGAGATGGACTTGCTGAAGGACAACCCGAAGTGTTTTGCATGGTTGCCTGCTATGTGATTTGGCTGCAGGTTCAAGTTCCTTAGGCAAGCAGAGGTCATGACTGCCCTTGGCCCTTGTTGCCCAACTTGTTGCAAACATGCCTTGCTGGCCCATGTTGGATGTCTTGTTGCCTCATGTTGGTCGGCCGTCTCGATGTATCATGCTGGTCCACGTTACATTTGCTGGGGCATGTTGCACTTGTTGCTTTGATTTGTTTTGCTGGCACATGTCATGATGGCGCATAATGTGCAGGTCTTGTTGCATCCGCTGTGCTTCGAACTTGATGTGTCATGTTGTGGTGTGTTGCTCCATGTTGCAGTGTTCCAAGTTGAGCCCACCTGAAGACTTGAGTTTGGCATGTTGGCCCATGTTGCACCGTTGCCCATGTTGCCCATGTTGCCCATGTTGCCCATGTTGCCCATGTTGCCCATGTTGCCCATGTTGCCAATGTTGGCAATGGCAATGTTGGCTTAGCGGCTTATGTTGCCCATGTTGGCCCATGTTGCCATGTTCCATGTTGCAGGCAGGGCATGCTGACCATGTCGAGGGCATGTTCCACAGGATGCTGAGACTGGAGTTGCATGCCAACCCGAGGTCAGGATTTCAATTGACTTCCTGGGCGGTCCAGAATATGAAGTTTGCGAGGGCATTGAAGAACCCAGCTTTTGTCCTCCTTTCAGACCAGGACAGTCCTGCTGCGGAACGCTGTGTCTACACCCTTCTCACCCAGCTGTTCAAAGCAGCTCTGGAGGTTGCTCCAAAGGCAGACGCCAAAAGGTTGGAAGCGCTTCCAATACCTGCTGGCGAGATCCCTCAGACCAGCCGCAAGATTTACCTGGTGCAGGGGGCAGCGAGCATTGGCAAGCAGTACATTCTTTGCTGCTGGGAGCTCACAACCGAAAGAGATTTCAGGGCATTTTTGCGGCAGCATGAAGTCAAGATGTTCAAGCATTGCCAGCCTGAGGCTTATTACAAGTTGATCTTGTCCAGAAAGCCTGCGAAGCTTCAGGCGTTCGATTTCGAGCATGACATGGGCGCTGCAAGCAGCAGCCAAAAGGAGGAAGCTCTACAGGTTCTGGCAGGCGCCCTTGGCCCAGGGCGGGGGAAATTCAGGCTGGAACAGTCCTTTACATGGGGGGGTGTGAGCTTCAAGCATCACAAACGTGGAGGGCTGCAAGTTGATTGCCCTCGTCGCAGTCACATCCGTCATCACCACAAGAGTGGAAAAGAATGCTCTGCACATACTCAAGCAACTACAAAACTGAGGAGCAGCGCCATGAGGCTGTGCAGCGCATGAAGTGGTGGATCATTAGAGGCCTTGAGGAGTCCTGTCGAAGCCATTCTGCTCACCAAGAGATCAAGAAGCAGGTTCAGAAGGCGCCGCTGAGCGCTTTGCCTTCAGACCAGGAGCTGGACGCGCAAATGCCGCCAGCAGAAAGAGCTCTAACTGACGACGAAGGGAAGAAGCCAAGGCAAGCGAATAGACCTAAAAAGAAGGCAAAGGCTGCGGCAAAGGCATCAACAACAGTGATCGCTGCTGAGCCGAAGAAGGAAGCTTCGTCTGATTCTGACTCAGACTCTGATTCTGGCTCTGGCTCTGGCTCAGGCTCCTCAGATTCAGATTCCTCGTCTTCATCTTCCAGTTCTTGATCGTCTTCCAACAAAGACAAAGGGCAGCGGGCAGTGACCACGAGCAGAAGGCCAGGCGTGTGTTGCTCAGATCGATCGGGCTGGGATGGGTGTGGCAAGGAATGAAGGAAGAGTAAAATTAAGGTTCTACAAAGATAGTGTTAAGGGCAGAGGACATGCTTAGTTTGTTGCTCTCAGCAGGTGATGACTTTCAAGCTGTCTTGGAGTTGGTTTTCGCGCAAGTGTGGCGTGTTGAGGTTGCAGTTTGAACCCTCGCACCAACCAATTGTTGTTGGCATGTTTCCGATTGTGACCTCATGGCATGTTCCTTGTGTGTGCCTTTCGCATAGAAGCTCAAGCCAGGCATGGGACTGGCTGCTTTGGCGGTCATGGGGTGGCATTCATGCTGTGTGAGTCATGCTGTCACAGCGCGCGCAACATGTACATCATAGCCAGCAAGCAATAACTTGTGCAGCCAATGTGCATCGTGCATCACGCATGTGCGGCTACATGACTTTACCAACCTTCGACCTTGCCTGAGCACAGCCATGAGTTCTTTCCAGCAGTCCCCGCCTTGGAAGAGGCTGCGTGGCAAAATTTGGCAAGTTGTGTTTTTGTTCAGATTCAGGTTTAGCTTTGAGAGCAAGCCAAGAGGAAGTCAAGTGTTGAGCCGGTAATAAAGCCTACTGAGCTCCTTTTTTGCCACCCTTGCTCAGGGCCCGGGCTGACAACAAGAAGAAGAATGAGAATGAGAACGCCCGGCCGGAGATCACAAGTTCGGCCCGCCAGGCGCAGGTCCAGGTGAGCTTCCTCACTGTGAACTACCAGTTCACAATCCCAGCTCCCCCGCCTCCGCCAGCGTTTCCACCTCCACCATTCCCGCCGCCGCCTTTGCCATGCAAGCCGCCCCCAGTCCCGATAAGATTGCAGCCTGCGAAGAGGCCGAGAGCGAGAACACCATCGCCGCCGTCGCCGCCATCGCCATCGCCGTCGCCGCAGAGACCAATCGCTGCTTCGCCTGCGCCTGCGCCTTCGAGACCAAGACTCGGACCGCCGGCGCCACCGCCGCCGAAGGCAAAGAACACAAACAAGAACAGGAAGCAGAGGGAGAAGCAGAAGGAGCAGAAGGCGATGGCCAAGGCAGCAGCCAAGGCCAAGACATTGGCGGCAATGGCGGCAATTGCGGCAATGACAGTGAAGCAGGCGCCGATGACACCGATGACGCCAAAGGTCAAGAAGATGCCAAAGAGGCCGAGTCCAGTCCTGCCACTGCCAGTCCTCAAGGGCACAGTGGCAATGGTAGTGGCGGCCGGTGCCGCCGCCGGTGCCGCCGCCGCCGCCGCCTCCACTGAGTGCCCCAAGGCTTCCATGGCTTCCAAGGACTCCAAGGACGCCGCAGAAGATGACGATGAAGATGATCAGACCTGGGGGCATTGGGGCAGATGGACCAAGGCCTCCGAGGCCTCTGAGACTGAGGTGAGCAAGAGTGAGTGTGAGGTCATTGAGGACGCTCTGGAGTCCCTGGATGCCTGGAGCCTTGTGAGTGGGATGAGCCGGATGAGCCGCTGAGCGGACTTTGAACTGGCAAGTGCTGGACAGCCCCCGCAAGGCTGCCACAGCTGCCAACTGAGCAGGAATTGATGGAATGGCCAGCCGCCCAAGACAGGCCAGCCAAAGGCAAGCCAGTCACATGGTCCCAGCGTGAAAAAGGCGGTCTCTGCACTTAGGGTTTAGGGTGACACCACAATCTGGCAAAAACTGAAAAACACTTCAGGTCCACTATTTTTGCGTTTGTGCTTCCATTTGTTGATTCTGCCTGTGATGGAAAGCCAGCAGGGAGGCCCGCGATAGTCAGCACTACACCCACGAAGGTTCCGGAAAGGCCCACGGAGGTGCCACACAGCCCCACAAAGGTTCCACGAAGGTCCACGAAGGTCCTCGAAGGTTATGTAAAGGGCGAAGATGACACCCCCCTGGAGGCCACGAAGGTCCACGAAGGTTCCACGAAGGTCCACGAACGTTCCACGAACGTTCCACGAAGGTTCCACGAAGGTCCACGAAGGTCCACGAAGGTCCACGAAGGTCCACGAAGGTCCACGAAGGTCCACGAAGGTCCAAAAATTAGTGGCCCTGGCAATGTTTTCCATTTTTCCAGAACACTACAGAATTTGCAGTTGTGGGACCTATCTGGAGTTTTCAGGCATGGGGCAGCAGATTTCTTGCCATGTCTCGCCCAGTATGCCACATTTGCGCTGGCAGGCAAAAAGCCAAAGAAGAAGACAAGACTGGCCGGGGGCTTCTGGCATCTGGAAAGTGAAAAAAGGTGTTCATTACCATGCTGGCAATGCTTGGTTGAATTTGCTGTGCCATGTTGGACATGTTGGACTGCTGTGCCATGCTGAATCAAGCGCTTGATGCCAGTGGTTGTTGAGTTGCTAGCTTCAGCATGTGCATCAGCAAGTTTGATGTGCATGTTGACATTGAAATGTCGAGTTGTTGTGGCTGTGACCTTGTGTCCTAGTTAGCGACAGCGGCTTGATCATTGTGAAGCTTTTCAGGCTGGCAGTAATATTGTTTGACCGACCTGTTGCACGCCCAGCCGCCAGTATGGAATCTATGGAAGCTTCCTTGGTTCTCGACTTTGACGAGGATGCGATGCAGGGGGTGTCCCAGGTTGACCAGGCTGCTCAGGCGCTGCCTGCTTTGGCGCCGATGGCGCCGCCACCAGCGCCGGCGCCGGGGCCGCCGCAAAGGCATGTGACTGACCCTCTCAGTGAGCAGCCTTTGAAGACAGGCATTTGCTGGTTGTCACCTACATGCGACAAGAAGACATATGCCAAGAGCAAGTTCTGCAGTGCCCACAAGAAGGAGGCAGAGGCGTTGAAGCGCGACGCAGAGAAGAGCGGCAAAAACGCCCTGCAGTTCTACTTGTCCCAATGCTCGTCCCAGACGCTGTACTCCAAGATGCTGATTGAGTTCATGGGTAGGTGCCAGAGCAGGGGGAAGGGCGCAGGTCGGGAGCGCTTCAACTGGGTTCAGTACCAGGAGACATGCTACAGATCCAGGGAGGTCAGGCGCGGCTCCAAGGACCAGATGAGACTTGGCCACATGTCACAGGTTTTCGCTCTCACCGGGGTCACGGGTCACCGGGATGCTCTCATGCTGAATGATGCTGCCTCATGCTGCGGCTGCATCATGTTACCCCATGTTGCCAGTTGAGCCACGCCCAAATGTGTCACTGTTGGTTCGCATTGCCGCTTTGCCTCATGCTGTCACTTTTGAGCATGTTGCCTGGTTCATGTGTCGACTGCGTGCGGCATGTTGAACATGTTGCCCCATGCTGACTCAAGAGGCTTTAAAGATACCTGACACCCCAGCGCTGCTTGATTGATGCTGTTGGCTGCCGCATGTTGCCGCATGTTGCCGCATGTTGTTGCCGCATGTTGCCGCATGTTGCCGCATGTTGGGCATGTTGCCCATGTTGCCGCATGTTGCCGCATGTTGCCGCATGTTGCCGCATGTTGCCGCAATTTGAAATTTGCATCAGTTGCCTCCCTTGTTTTGGATCATGTTAGCAAGATTCCTGCTGCACTGCTGGACAGGCTGAAGTGGTTGTTGAAGCATGCAGCATGTGGGCTTGATATTGGCAAGGATGTGCTACGAGCAGTGGATGGATGTCTCACAGGCAAAGCACAAGCGGTCCTGGGAAGAGAGCGACAGGATGTGGACCGAGTTCTCCAACGACAGCGAACGCGAAAAGGACCAGATGGGTCCGGAGTGCTCAAAACTCAGAATTGAATGCCCAGTGAAAGACTACATCCTCCGAGAAGACGTGAGCGGGTATTCCAAAGCTCGCGTTGCAGCCCACAAGCAAATGAAAAACCCCAAGCAGGAGGACATGGAGAAGGCTGACTCCACAGTTTGCACTTCTTTGCCCAGATGGACTGATTCGCATTTTGCCATCGGCAACAAATCCGGGGCAACCAGCAACGGTTTCATGCATGGCGACCAGGCAGCGGCAGCGCCAAGCACTCCTATGTGCGAAGCAAGTGCAGGGCTGGATTCTTTGTTCACGCCAGAAAAGCAGGACTTGCCAGGGCTGCCAGAGAACAAGAAAAAGAATATCAAAGACATCAGTCGATACAGAACGAAAAAGTACGACGCAGTCATGAAGACTTACAAGAGCTTGGACCTCAAGTGCGACAGCTTGCATAAGCAGGTCTCGGACTTTTGCAGCTCCAAGGACAACACTGATGAGTTCAAGCACTTCATTGACCTGGCCAAGTTCAAGTTGGAGTTCATGGGCCGCTTGTCAACCTCCAAGGACGCAGAGGAATGGCGCAGCTACTTGGAGAGCCTTTCAGAGCAGGAGAAGGCGATGCTTCCAGGCGACTTGTCCTTGCTGCACTGCCCTGCTGAGATTGACGCTCAGGCTTCATAGTAATTACTTAGTATTACTTAGTATTACTTAGTGGTTAGTAGTCAGAAGCCATTGAAGTCATAGTCAATTGGCGATGTGCTGTGAGGCTGTGAATTGCGAGCCCGTGCAGCAAGCTTGTGCGCGTGCTAATGAATCGCATGTTGATTGACCATGTGGTGGATGTCAAGGGGGGCAAAGCATGTTGAGCTGTGTGTGTTCAGAGGACAGGCGCTCCAAGTCTCCAAGTTGCATGTTTTGGTTTGGATTTGGATTGTTGTAAGTTGTAAGGACACTATGATTGCCGCGCTGTTGGGCAAGAATGATGTTGATGAGATTGACCAAGCCCATGTCAAGATCACAGCAGCTTTGAATCTTGTGGTCACCCAAGCTAAAGCAGTAAAGGGGGCTGTGAATGATTTGCTTGCTGCAAAGCGAAGCCGGGAGAAGGAGGTGGAAAGGCAGCAGCAGGCTGCCAAACGCAAGGCTGAACAAGCTGCTGTGAAAGAGGAGAGGAAGCGGCAGCGCCAGAACGAGGAGGACCGCGAGGCGCCGCATCACTGACCAGACACAGAGCCACCGCATTGACAAGCTCCCTGGGCACTTGTTTTGCAAGGCTAGCCTGTACGCAGATGCCTTGGCCTTGACTACCAATGCGCCTGATGGCATGCATCCTTGCCTGGTGTCTGCGCCGCCAGTTCCCTGCATGACAGGAGGTGTGTTCACTGAGCATGTGGGAGCCTTCAAAGCCCAATTCCCAACAACCTCGGCAGCCAAAAGCACTGGCCGTGCTCAGTGCAGTTTCCGCCCAGCTGCGCTGAAAGCGGAGGTGGAAACCTTCATGAGGAAGCTTTCGCCATGGGTGACGCCAGACCTGAGCAACTTTGATGAGGTTGCTGCAGAGCTCTCCTTGTTCGGCTGTGTTCAGGGAATGTCGTTTGTTAGCTCTGAGTGGAACGGCATGGGGCAAGTGAGGTACCTGCTGGAAGGGTCAAGGAAGGTGTTCGCAGCACCGTGCGGGTGGCTGGTTCAGGCAGCGCGCAAGGTCGGCAAGGATGTGCAGACCGAGGAGCAACTATACACATGGTTTCGCCACTTGTCAGAGCAGCATATCACAGCCCTCAACGGAGTTGCCAACACGCCACAGATTGTCAGCCTTGTCCAGGATCAAGGCCAACTGGTATACATCCCTTCTGGGTGGATTGTTGGAGACTTCACAGAGCAGGTCAGCATTGGGCTTCGCTACGCAGCCCTTTCCAGCCAGGATGTTGTGAGCGGCAACTTGGAGCAGTTGATCAATTTGATCAGCGACGGCAAGAAGCAAAAGGGAACCATGCAGAAGTTGCTCCAAGCAGCCAAAAACCAGCTTGCCAAGGAGAAGTCGGAGAAGGCGCCTGCCAAGGCTGCCAAGTCTGCCAAGTCGCCAGAAGTGCCAGAAGCAGCAGAGCCAAAGCCAGCTCCAGCAAAGCCAGCTCCAGCAAAGTCAAAGGTTAAGTCTCAGTCAGGGGCAGCTGCAGGCAAATGAAGAAAGCTGAGGCTGAGCCGGCCGGCTCTGAGCAAGTGTACTGAGTAGACAGTCTGTCGCAGGAAGTTGCAAGCTTGGCTTGGTCATATTCAGATTGCTTTCAACTGTTTGAATGTTAAGAGTGGTTATCACTTGTCACAGACTGTGCTGTGTGGAGGTGACAGGCTTTGACATTGTGAGATTGTTGTTGGTGTACTCCAGATTCCAGACCAAGCTGCATCCATCTTGGAGCGTGTAGTGTAGAGCTAGGAACACACTGATTGTAGTAGGAGCAGCTTGTGTAGTAACTTGTAGGCTGCGCCAGCCCTATTATCAACACAGTTCCAGTTCCATCAGCTGTTTCAAGCGCAACTTGATGCACATGCATTGAAGTGTGCTCCTGGTCCCTGTGACTGGCCTGCGCAGTGCAGGGGTCCTCAGGGACAGTGCAGCTCAACTGGAGCCAGAGGCCCTTATTCGGGGGGAAGCGTCTAGAGTCTAGAAAAATCCTGTAGGCCATCAAACAGCTGCCTGAGCTTCATGTTCGGCATGCGCTTTGTGATGAGGCTTGCTAACGGCTAACGCATTGCAGGGCAAAGCAGTGCAATCTGACACATGCGCAGTGACTTGTTGATTGTTGAGTTGAGTTGCGATGGTTTTTGGCATGTTGCTCATGCCTGACACTTGCAGGTTGGAGACATGTTGCCTGCTGATGGCCATGTTGCGTGCAGTGTGAGCTTGCATGATGCACTTGCATGGCAGTGATTTGGTTCTTTGAAGTTCCTTGTTGCGTGTGCTTCACAACTGCAAGAATCAGAATGGCGCCCAAGAAGGGGTTGAAGAGGCCTGCAGCTTCGATGGAAATGGAAACACGTAGGGCAAAGAAGAAGCCGAGCGCAAAAGATGATGAGCCTGACCCACTAGCAGGACATCACTCAGAAACAGACGGGCAAATCTGGAGCGGGTGTGTCCCCCAGTGTGATGAGGTTGAGGATGGGCCAGAGAGCTTGCGTGACATTCTGAATTGGGCAGAGCGAGCCGTGGACATTGTGCTGAAGAAGCCGCATGAATCAGACCTTTTTCTGGCCAACATGTCTCGCGGCATTTGCATTGGAACCAGCTACTCTGGCATGAAGACTCCTGAAATTGCCTTGGACCAGTTGCTGGCAGCAGCCAACCAATTGCTGCCCTGGTTCGGCAAGCAGCCGCTTGGCCCCAAGCTTCATTGTGCTTGGTCCTGCGACAACGGCAGTGGCCCGCTTGAAGTGGCCAGAGGCTGGAGCTCGGAGAGGTGGGCTGGCAAGGGCCACATTTTTGGCGACTTGCATGACCTGCTGTCAGAGTCAGCCTTGGCGGAATTCCACAAGTTTCGCAAGTTCCAGGAGCAAGGCCGAGTTGAAGAAGGCTTGGGTCAGTTGAGCAATTGGCTGATGAAGAACTGCAACGAGGCAATTGACACAGGGCATTGCTATGCCCACAGTGCCCGTTGTAGGCGGGCGCTGTGTTGCAATTTGCAAGAGTAAGAGAGTTTTTGCGGTTTTTCCATTTTGTTTTTGGAGACTTGGAGAGAGAGGTCAGAGCTAGGCTTTAACTTTGGCCAAGCGCGCGCAGGGCAAGCGATTTCCAGGCAGGCGCCAGCTGCCCCTTTCCGGACCCCATCACGATAGAAGTCGCTGGATCCAGTTGTGTGGCGTGGAGCCCGCAGGGTGCAAGAGCCGGCACAGATCACGACAGCCACTTGGCCTTCCTGATTTGGGCCTGCCATGTCAGGAAGGCTCGTCCTGTGCTTCTCGTGCATGAGTGCACAAAGACCTTCCCCTTTGATTTGCTTCAGTGGTGGCTCGATGATCTGTATGACTTGAAGGAAGCTCTCTTTGAACCATCTGACTTTGGCCATCCCATTCGCAGGCCAGGCCGCAGATACACTTGGGGTTTCCTGGCTTCATCAAAACCTGTTGCTTTGTGATTGCAGTTTGCCTTTGTAGTTTGAAGTTTGACAGTTTGACTTGGCCAGGCTGTTGCAGCTGTTGTGTTTCACAGTTCCACGAGTCATGACCTTTGTCGCGGTGTGAAGTGCAGTGTTGTCACCTTGTGTGTTTTCAACTTTCAACATTGAATGCAGTCGCTCCAAGGCATCCGGAAGGACTACGAGTTTGTGGGCAGCATTGAGGAGTTCAAGGCTGAGCACATGCGAAAGTGCGTCCTGGATGGCAATGTGTACTACGCAGCCCCAGAACACATTCTGCAGGCAGAGCTGAACAGGCTGGCTCATAACCGCAAGGTGGCCCAGGTTCCAGTGACTTCGATTTCCACATCATGGACTCGCTTCTACCCTGCTGGCGCGCAGCTGCGGTTGAAGAAGGCGATGACGAGGTTCGCCAAAGAAACACTCATTTGTGATCTGGATCAGAACCCTGGCTTCGGACCTGCAGCAGGCGCGCGCTTTGTTTGCATTTGCCAATGGCAGTATGATACAGTATGTGCTGAGTTGCGCTTGGTGCTTGGTTACTTTCAGCTTTCAGCTTGGGGCTGACAGATTCGAGAACTGTAGAACAATATTGTTCCTTTCGAAATTTTAAAATCTAGTTTTGAGAGCATGTGTGAGGATCATACATTCCCACATTGGTGACGCATGGCTGCATCCACAACACTGGCAAGGGGCGCTGCCTGGTTCCTTTGGAGCACTTGCTGGTCATGGGGCTGCCTGTTTTTGAGGGTTTGCCAGGCTTCCCGACACCCATCCAGGGAGCTCTGGCAGACTTGTCTGCAGCCAACCTCAAAAAGTTGGCTGGAAATGCTATGTGTTTGCCGCAGGTTGGAGCCATGCTCTGCTACCTTCTGAGCAATGTCAAGCAACAGATGAAGAAGCAGTTGGGGGGCGGGCGTTGTGCAGTGTCAGCTTCAAGCTTTTCCTTCATCAGCGAGGGCAGTAACAACATGACAGCGAGCCCGCCCAACAAGATGGCAGAGCTCAGCAGGCCCAGCCAGTGACAGGCGATTCTGGTCACCAGACCGTAGTAGACTTAGCGCTTTAGTGTCGTCTTTTAGCTGCTTGATGCTTGGATGGTTGTGACGGTTGTCAGTTGTGACGGTTGTGAATTGTGATGTGATTTTCTGGCAACGCTCCAGCCCAGCAATTTTCTGCAGAAGGCAGGTGTAGCGGCTGTAGCGCTGATAGTCACTGATAGTGCCGGAGGCCGGAGAGTGTTGGCAACTCGGATTTGATCTCGCTTATGAACCTGTAGCTTCGGAGTCATGTTCAGGCGTTTGCGGCTGAAAGGGAATGGCGCCACTCATGACTCATGGCTCTAGAGTTCTGAAAAGGGCAGCCTCATGTCTCATGTGCTTGGTGCCTGCTAGCCGCTGCTTAGCCAAGCGCCTGCAGTTTTTGGTTTTTGTTTGTTTTGGACTCATGTGGTGGCGGTGGTGCTGGCACCAGCTCCGGAATGGCGATTGGGGATGGAGATGGTTCATGATCACGGAATCCGGGGACATGGTCTGGCCAGGCAGCTCAACGCAGGGAGAGAGAAGCCCAACAGCCCACATTGCTGACTCTGCTGACTGCGACATGTCCGAAAGCAGCTGTGAGAAGAAGTCACGAAAGAGGAGGAGCACGAGCCCAGTTGCAGCTGCCAAAGCTGGTGCTGATGCGAAGAACGACGAGGGTTACAAGGACGCACAGGCACAGCCAGCCAAGAGAAGGGCCAGAGGAGAGTCCCCTTGAATGCCCGGATGCCCAACGCAACCTTCTGCCAGTGGCTGCCAGTGATTGCCAGCGCCAGCCCAGCGCATTGCATGCTTTGCTCAGACTTGCGCTGCAGTGCAGCGCCGAATTTTGGCCACGCCAGCGCAGTGTTGCTTGAAGCACCTGTGGAGTTGGCGTCGCGAACAGCAGGCATTGTGCAGCTTCTGTTGGCCTGCTGTTTGGATGATCATTTGGATGCTCAATCCAGGGAATCCAGGGGTCCAGAACATGACGATCCATGATGATGATCATGACCATGATGAAGCATGTTGGCATGTGATGTGTCACAGTCACAGATTGCAAGTCATTGTTTGACACTGGCACAGCCTGACACAGCGCATGCCGCATGCATGCCACATGCCTTTGCTTGATGCAATGCCTGATGCCGGGCTTAGGGTTTAGGCTGGGGCCGGGTTGGTTGAAGTTGAAGTTGAGGTTGAGTGCTTGCTTGTTTGCTTGTGTTTTGCAAGTTGGCCGGCCCCTGCGTTAATGTCTGCCTGCAAGTTTGCATGTGGATTGTTGAATGAATGTTGCTTGGATGACTTGATGCCCTTGGTGCTGCTTGCTTGCCATATTGGTTGTAGACAGACTTAGCCTTGGCCTTAGCCGCGCAGCCTTGGCGTGAGCTTGGCTTGTCAAGGGCCGGCGCCATGATGGGAGGAGGAAGCAGAGGAAGGCCGCCGCTGCCTGCCCGAGCTGCTTCAGCTGCAGCTGATGAAGCTGAAGCTGCTGCTATGGGCTGGACAGTGGTTGGCGAAGAAACTGCAGCTGCAGACAGCGAGGCTGACGCTGCTGATCTAGCCGCGGCGGATGCAGCAGCTGCAGCCGCTCTGCCTGCGGGCATTGCTTCCTCAGAGTTGGGATTGATCATCTTCTCGAGGTTCGGCGAGTACAGCGACGCAGACAAGGGCCTTGCAAGAAACAGCCTTGCGATGGTGGTGGCTGTCATTGGGTTCCTGAAGCGCAGGCTGCAGTCTGCAGCTGTGTGGGGGTGGCTGACCTACTGGCAGGCAGCCCTGCTCGAAACAATCTTCCAGCTGGATGGCGCCAGCCAGGCCAGGGCCAGGGATGTGAGGCCGGAGCCGCAGTACGAGCTCCCTGCAGTGGCGCTTGTTGAAGGGCCTCAGTCTGGCCCAATCCCTTTGTTGCAGGAGCCTGCTGCCTTGCAGGAGTACTATGAGTTCTTAGAAGGTAGTGTGGAGTTCTTGACACTCATGCTGACCGAATGCAGCAGCAGCAGCAGCAGGCTCAGCAGGCAGCAGTGGCAGTGGCAAGTAGCAACAATCCTCGTTGGCCTCGTTGTGACAAGCCTGGGCCACACATTTGGTTGTTGTGGCTCCGCAATGTCTTCTTGAGCCAGTTGCCAGAGCTGCAGTAATGAGCCAAAGCAGGTCTGAGTTTTGGTTTGCGTCTGCGTCTGCGTTGGCAGCCCTGGCAGTGGCAGCGTGTGACAATTTGTGTGTGTGAACTGGTTGGCACTGGTTGGGCTGGCTGGCTGCCAACCAAGGTTGGAAGTTGGAAGCACACACGCATGTCTTTCAGAAAGCTTTCATTGTCATCAATGAGTTGTCAATGAGGCTGCGGCTGCGAGGCACGGAAAAGAAGAAAAGCGGCCCGGGCTGTCTGCTGCTCAACCGGAAAGTTGTCAAGTTGTCATGGTCACTCATCGGATCAGGAGGATTCAAATAGTTGTAGACATGAATTTCACATGAAGGCAGACACGTAAACTTAAGCAAGCTTCAGACCCTATTCCAAGATTATTGTAAAACTCTTCTGAATGGTTGATGGCTGTGTGGTCGCTTTCTTCCTTCGTTTTATGCTCCATCCTTTGCCCTGACAACTTGCTAACGCTAGGAAATAAAATGCCAAGCCACATGGGCTCCCAGATGTTGCGCCTGGGCGCAGGTTGCTGAGTGACATACCGATTGTACCTTGAATTGCGTGATTGTTCCAGCCCCAGTTCCTTGGATTCCTTGCAGTTGTGCCGTTGCCCCAGTGATGATGGCCTGGCAGCATGAGCGGCATGAGCTGCTGCATCAATGCCAGTACTGAGGGGCGCTTGTAATAGGTGACAGCATGGTGCAAGATTTGTGCTTTGCAGCGTGCGGTTGGCGTGAGGCTTGCTGTGGTGTAAGACAAGTAGGGCGGAGCACTTTTGCAACCTTCACACAGGACCCCAGTAGGAATGACCACCATCCTCCGCACCATTTTGTCACTTCGGTACTTCGTCATAGGCGCTCGCATGTTTGCCCAACGTCGTGGCTCACCCGTGGGGAACCCGGCAAGCCCAGCCATGTGCCTGCTTGTTGTGGCCGCAGCGGAGGAATCCTGGAGCCACACTTACACCGAAATGCTCCACAACAAGCAACTTTGGTTTTCCTGCCGGTACGTCGATAACCGGCTAACCATGCTCGCCGCACCACTCGCTACCACACCACCTTTTCGCGCGTTCCTCGCTAAGGAGTTCTACATTGACACCATCACCCTGGCCGACGAGCCGGGCAACGACTTCTTGGGTTTCTCCATCAATTTGAACACACGCTCCATCCGGCACAAGCCCCCCGACTCACCGTCCCAGTTTCTTCACCCTGCGTCCGCCTCTTCCAGGATGGTGATCCGCAGCTCTTTGGACTCGCGGAAGCATCTTGCCAGACGGCTTGCATATCCCCAACGTGAAGTTCAGGTTGCGCTCCAACATCTTCGAGACCTGTGGAACGTCACTTTGTCTCACACAGATTTACCAGGGTATGCTCCGACCAGACTCATTTCGTTCGACCAAAATGCTTGCTTCTGTGTGTGGTTCACTGCCTGGCATGACATTTGCTTAATCAGACCTCCGCTACAGCATTCTGGCCTGTTCAGCTTGCATTTGCGCCATGTCGGACGAATTGCGAACGGCCTGGACCACCTTCCTGGGACTATACGCAGGACCTCGCCTGCAAACCCCAGTCGCGGCGACCTTGTGACCCCGCCGGAGCTCTTGTCGTCTCCAATGGCATCCGCTTTCGGGAAGAGTGCACCACCGACTGACAACGCACCAGACTGCACTCAGCCACGTCCAGCACATGAGTGCCCACTACTACCTCCAGGAAAACGGCCTCGGCATGAAGGCCCCTCCGATGCCCAACCTGTCATTGACATCACTGACACGCAGGAGGTCGAAACTCCGTTTCCCGACCCTGTGCTCTTCGACATTCACGGGGTACTCCGTCCACCAGCTTTGAATCTTGAAGGTCTCCCTCTGACACCTTGCACCGCTACATCGCCTTCACCCTCAGAGGCCCCCAACAGTGCAGAGCCATCAGTCTCGGACGGTGAACTTGCAGATGCAGCTCATTCACTGGCACCCTCAACGGCAAGTGACAATTGGTCGCCCAGTCAAGTTCAACGCCTTCGTGAGTTGAAATCCAATGAGCGTTCCCGACCCAGTTACAAAGCCATAGGCAAGATTTTGAAGAAATCCCCCGGCAGTGTCAAACAGAAATGGAACGAGGTGAAGAACCTGCCGATTTAGGTCTCAGCTTTGTCGCTGCACTGCTCAGATACGATCTGCCGCAAAAAGCGGCGTGTGTGTGTGTGTGTGCGGAACCTTCTCTTGCACGAAGGCGGCGTCACGGCCGATATTGGAATGTCTGCGGTATGAACACGAGCAGGGGGACCAGGGATGCTTGACTTGGCCTGGTCCAACGAAGCTCCAAGTCTTGCGTCAGGATATGGCAGAAGCGCTTCAGCCACGTACCTGCGCTCGATGATAAGCTGTTGGTTTACCCACTGGATTCTGTGCCGTGATGTTGATGCTGTTGGTTAGTCACTAGAGTGATAGTAACTAGAGTGACACTGCCCGGACATGACCTTTGCGACTTCTCTGCATTCCAAAGTGTGTGTGTGTGTGTGTGTGTTTGTGTGTGTGTGCGTCTGTGTGTGTGTGTGTCTGTGTTTGTGTTTGTGTTTGTGTTTGGCTTTGTGTTTGTGTTTGTGTGTGTGTTTCTGTTTGGTGTGTTGTGTGCGTCCGTGTATGTCCGTGTGTTTGTGCGTTTGTGTGCTTGTGTGGCAGTGTGTTTGTGTGTTTGTGTGTCTGTGTGCTGTGTGTTTGTGTGTGTGTGTTTGCGGTTTGTGGGTCTGTGGGTCGTTGTGATTCTGTGTCTCCGCGTCTCTGTGTCCGTGCGTCTGTGTATTGGTGTTTGCGTTTGTGTCTGTGTCAGCGTGTGTGTGGGAGGTGTGTGCGGACTGACTATTTGTGTGTGTGTACTTGCTTTGTCAAACCCAAATGAATCACCTCGGCTTCGCGTGCCGAATCTGACCCGGCCCCTTTGGGAAGATGCCCCCCTAGTTATTCGCGTCGCTCTTTCTGAATCCAACATGCTGTTTGACTTGGTGTCCAGGTGAGAAGAGAAGCATGTTCTAAACAAACGGCCGCTTCTGGCTCTTGAGCTGCGGAAACTCTATCCAATGCCGGCTGGACACTCGGTTGCGCGAAATCGAGGCCACACTTTCTATTTTTGAGCGGACACCAGAGCTTTCCGGCCGACATGTTTCGGTGCAAATCTTATAGCTACCACGTAGCCAGTCCCCCCTGTGTAGCCTGCAAAACATAAAAGTTTCAGACCGTGTAATGCTGCTGTGTATGACCCCAGGAATGCCTACGTGGGCGCCTACGCAAACAAGAAAGATGTGGACAAGCCCCAGCGGAACAATGAATGATTCGGCGGAACTGCAAAACTCGATATGGAGACGCAGCGGGAAAACCGTTTGCGTAGACATCCGCGTAGGCAACGAACACGCAGATAAGCGCGCACAGGCCCCTTGCGGTTGCGACGGTTTTGCGTCGGTGCTCGCGTAGCTGCGCGTGCAGCGTATAGGCCCCCAGCACCTAGAAAAAATAGCCACTGGGATGTGTGCCTTTGTGTGTGTGTTTTTGCGTATCTCTGCGTGTCTCTGTGTGTCGTTGTGTGTCTCTGTCTGTGTCCCTTGTGACTCTGCGCGTCTCTGTGCGTGTGCCTCTGTCTCTGGTATGTTTGTGTGTGTGTTTGCGTACGTCTGTGTGTCTGTGTCTGTGTTTCTGCATCTGGACGCAGGCAGCAAAGCTTTTCCTGCAGAGGCAGGGCTCGAATGGTATCCGACGCTGGTTCGGCTGGATTTGCAATTAGGTGCTTCTGCCTTTTCAGGCTGCACCGGCCGCTCTTCCTCTCAGACTTTTCGAGAGTGAGCAAGGCAAGGCAATACCCGGTGCCGGGTTTGTTGCTCGCCCTTGTGGGAGTCCAAGTTGATCGCATGAGGCCGGAGAGCCTTTGCGGCCAAACGAAGATCTGCTGTTTGGGGCTTAGAACCTGTGCCGAGCGAGAGAGCGGACAGCGAGAGAGTTCAAACCTGGCACTCCGGAAATCAAGCGCCAGGTGCAGAATTGCTTCAATGCCAGCGCTGTGTGCTTGTGGGGGCTTGCCCCGCTCAGTTGTGCGGCTGGCCTCTGAAGCGCCTCGGTCCTTTCTCTGCCGATGAGTCAAAATACGTCAGGCGCATTTGGCATATTGTTCTGTGTAAAGTATTTTGCAGGCTTAAGATTTTACCTGGCGCATCTCGCATGTGCGCTGAGGTGACGTGGGAACTTCCGTCACTGCTGGACCTTAAGCCGGATCGGCTCAAAGTGCTGTCTATCAGTGAGGTCGTAGATGCAGTTGGACCCGAGCTAACAGCGCATCAGAATTAAGTGCACTTTAAAATGCGACGGACACAGCGGGCGAAGGCTTCCTTCTAAAAGCTCGCCGGTGGCCCGCCTGTTCGGGAGGTGGTTAGCCGGCCCACTTGCCCTTTTCAAGGCAACTGGGGCGGCCGCGTCTCTTACGAACCAAAGTTGGCCTTTTTCGCGGACCTTTGACAACCGCTTCCTGAGAGCCGGCCATGTTGCAAATAGTTTTCCTTGGCGGGCTTGCAACTATAACGGGATTCCTGTCTTCACATTGTTGGCTGCGCCCGGTATTGGGATCCCGCAGGACGAGCCCAGCCTTGTGCAAAGTAGGCCCTGGCCCTTGACGGTGGACTGAACTGATCTTTTTGCTGTGCCGCCTGGCAAATCATTGGATTCAGGGGTTCTTGCGGCACGGCAGGAAGGGTAACCACCAAGGCAGTGCGAGACTGTTTGAAAGTTTTAGCTGCAAGTGACTGAGCTGGAGCTAGATTCGTGTAAATTCCAAATGGAGAGCTTGTTTCTCGTGGCCTCATGCTTTCAGTTCAGCCATGGAGCCAGTTGAAGCCAGCCGATTGAAAATCGTTCTGACAGCTGCAACTGGGGTGCTCAGCTGATGCTCCAGCAAATGTCTTAGCGGAAGTTTGGCCACTTACAGGAGGGAAACTTTCGAGACCCTTGTGTTGCAGCTGCGAAAAAGTCACAGCTTGTGCGAGACTTGAGGAGAGAAGAGATGTCATTTCTGGACTGGATCCTGATGAAGCTGGCAATGTGGTTTGACTATGTTGTTGGATTCTTGCACGGATGCTGCCTTGCCTTCAAGCAAAACTGATGAACATTAATACACATGTATACATATATTTATACAATACGATGCCTGGAAATTGGAGTGGGTTTTCTGGCTGGACATTGGGATGCACAGAGACATCACGGTAGCACAGCATTGCCATACAGCTCAGGAGTGATTGCTCTGTTACTTGGCAAGTGCTGCCGCTTGTGTTGCTGCATGATGCCATGTCACGCCACAGCGCATGTTACATCGCATTCCCTCGCAAGCGAAGGCTTGCAAAAACAGAGTTACGGGCGGAGGCAACGGTGTTGCAGGCGTTCTCAATATTTGCAGGTCTCAAAATGTTGCTCGTGGATGCTTTGAACCCTCTACAGACCACCTAAAAAAGAATACAATTAAACCAATGCTGAAACATTGAGAATCGCTGAGCTCCCCCCAGGCAGACGCGAGCTAGCAATTGAAATTGCGAGAAGAGCGACCAAGACAAGCGACAGCTGTGCACAGAGGCACGGTGCTGAAGCCATGGCTACGACAGCAGAAAAAACGTCTGCAAGCCGAATGAAGAAAATCAAGGCGCTTTTCAGCTTTATGCCGTGGTCTCAGTTTGGCCGGTGGACGTTGTTGATTGATCCGAGACGCCCGAGACAATGTATGGACATGGACTACCTCGGACAATGGGCTGGATATGCCAATGTGACCCAGCCCTGAGGTTTGTGCCATACCTGATTGCCGCCGTGGCAGCTCGTGCCTCAGCAACATGTATGGTCAAATTTGGAAAGCCTTGTAAAAGGTTCTGGGTGTCCTGGGCCCAAGTTTGGGAGTTGTTATTGCTCGTGGTGTGTTCTTGTTGTGGGCGGACTTTCTTGGCTCAGGTGGGCTGGCAGGCCATGACGACTGCAGCGTTGGGGGAGCTGCAAGAGGTGAAGATGCAGGGCAAGACAGTGCTTGTCACTGGCGCGACCTCTGGGCTTGGCCTTTGGCAAGCAGAGGCTCGGAATCCAAGCAGGTACCGCAAGGGTGCCAATGTGTCGAAGCTGGGTACCTGTAGAATAGGGTATCCCAAAATCCATGGAAGGTAGTACTACTATCTTAAAAGGAGAGACCTCTCCAAATATTTGGTTTCATTGCCAGTTTTGTTGCAAGCCGTCGCCCATAAGCGTGCCTGGTTTTGGCATGCAGCTATGGGAGGGAATGTTTCAAGGTATACAAGTGTCGTTCTCAACACCCCTGCTTTTGTGTTGCGCATTCGATTTTCCAGCCAATGGGTATCAGAAGTGTGCGATGCACAGAAGGTGGCGGAAGAGATGCGGCCTAAGCAGTTTGTTCAGCTGCCGCCTGCCAGGCATCCCCATTCAGCTGTGTGCTTGTGCCCCCACTATTCAAGGAAGAGTAGCGTTTCTCAAGTCCTCGCAGCTTAAGTCCCTTTGTCCGGTTTACAAGCCAGACCCACGACCAGCCCAACATCCAGAAAAAAAGCAAAAAACAAATGAGAAACAAAACAGTTGCCCCGAAAAGCATGCGAAAGGAGTCAAGCTTGTATGTTCAAGCTAAAGCTATCCA